CAATTCCTGCAACCTTTCTTCATATATTTTTGTCTCCAGGCCCTTAATCATCTTAGTTGCTCTTCTTTGCACTTTTCCCAAGTCTCAACATCTTTTTTGTAATGTGATAACCAAAACTGGATGCAGTATTCCAGGTGTGGTCTTAGTAAGGATTTATAAAGTAGTACTAATACTTCACGTGATTTTGATTCTAGGCCTCAGTTTATACAACCAAGGATTGTATTAGCTTTTTTGGTTGCTGCCGCACACTGCTGGCTCATGTTTAAATGACTGTCCACTAGGATTCCAAGGGCCCTTCTCACAGTTATTGTTTTTGAGCCAGGTTTTCTCTAATCTGTACTTGTGCCTTTGGTATTCATATTTGGTATTCATACAAGTATTCATGTTATATGAAACTATAACGAAAGCACATTTGTGGGCTTTCAAAAACTGGGCAAAGAACAGGCTGGGCAAGATTGCTATGACTGCTGTCACTTCCATAATAGAGGTAGTCTTTGATTTACAACTGTAGTTGAGCCTGGAAACCATGAGGGTCATTAAACAGGTGACCATGTGACTGCACCCGATTTTGTGACCATTTTTGCTGTGATTAAGCAAATGATGCAATCATTATGCAATCTCATTTTGCAAGAAATTGGAAGTAAACAGTGTTTTCCAGCAAAAAATATTGTAAATCACAGTGATATGACTGCTGGGCACTGCAAATGGCAATAAATGTGGGTTGGTTGCCCCATCTTGTAAAAGATTCCTTTGACTCTTGAAATACTACTTCATGGTGATGGTGGGGTGTGTGTGCATAGATCAGGTTACAATTCTGATGATACTAGAAAAATAACTAAGTTTTCTCTTTAGCAATTATGATAGGTTTCAGCTATAATCCCAGCCCATGGAGGATTTATAGTTCTGAATCGTCTAATGATACTTCAGGAAAAAGAAAAAAGGTAAGCACTTATATTTAGATGTTTCTCAAGAAAAACTATAAATGAAGGGGCTAAAATGTTTAAAAGACTCTCAATTTTGTTACTTGAAGAAAATACAAATTTGTATCTAGTTCAGAGATTGCTCCTAAGACTTTCAGTGTTGCTCCTCTTGAGAATTCTCCAAGTTCTTGCTTCCTCTGAAAGCAACCAAATTAGCCAATAGAGATTTGAATGGAACCCTGCAGAGTGCAGAATGCATGTATCTATTTCTCTGAACAGGTCATTTTTCTCTCATGGCTTCTTGCAGTCAGAGGCTGCCAAGAACAATAGTTTGCCTTAATATTTCATATGAATACACCATGAAGCACAATTGTTTTCACTCAGTGTGAATACAAATCCTCACAATATCAAGCTAAAAAAAAAAAAACAGAAGAAAAAATTTGCAATGCTAAGTGAAGTACCGTTACAATTCAAGTATACGTAGTCACAAAGTGTGTATATGTAGCAACGAAATAGAAAATGAATGTAAACATGCACGCTTTGGGAGGGGGAGGGAGAATTAAATAATACAGGTAGTCCTCGATTTACAACAGTTCGTTTAGTGACTGTTCGAAGTTACAATGGCACTGAAAAAGGTACATGACCGTTTTTCACACTTATAATCGTTGCCGCATCCCCATGGTCATGTGAATTACATTCAGCTGCTTGATAACTAACACACATTTTTGATGGTTGCAGTGCCACTGGGTCACATGATCCCCTTTTGCGACTTTCTGACAAGCAAAGTCAATGGGGAAGCCAAATTCACTTAACAACCATGTTACTAATTTAAGAATTGCAGTGATTCACTTAACAAATGTTGCAAAAGTTGTAAAATGGGGTAAAACTCACTTAACAAATTTCTCACTTAGCAACATAAATTTTGGGCTCAATTGTGGTCGTAACATGAGGACTACCTATATATCTGAATATCATCATTATCAACTGCTTATCATAGACCCTTTGGAATACAGAAAAATAAGTGGATTATTATAGCCAAAATATAATTTTGCAACCACCTATTAAATTGACTTACATAATAATTTATATACATGTAATGAAGGGTGTGATTCAATTAAACTCCCACATTTTAATATTGCATTTAACATAATATATATTTATTTGTTACAGTTATAATTGTTTTTATGAGATGTACACCAACTGAAATCATGTGCTGAAATGGATGGCTGTAAAAATCAAATAAATAAAATAAAATTAGAAATCTCCAGAAGTAATATGAGTAGAAAAGCAACAAATGAGAAAACTAGTAGTATGTAGTATATGAGATCCACAGAAGCCATTTATTTCCAAAAATGGCAAAATAAATAGCCAAGGCTAGAAAGCTGTTAGACTAAATGAAAAGGTAAATTGGTTTGATCGTCACATAATTATTCTTTTATAACTTTTCCACTAAAAGTAGCCTGCTCGTTGAACAGATATGAAAACTCAGAAAGTATTTGCTCTAACTAAAGGTATGGTTTCACTTAGTTGTACGATTGTTGTTTCCATAGGACCAGTAGCAGTTAAAAGCAATGCCAATGGAATTTGTTTTTCAACAAATTCAAAACACATGGATCCGGTTTAATTTTTAAAAACTAAGCAATGTATACTGCTCAAAAAAATAAAGGGAACACAAGCAGAAGACATCCGAGATCTGAATGAATGAAACAGCCTTATTAAATACTTTGTTCATTACATACAGTAGTTTATACACTGCTCAAACAACTAAAGGGAACACAAAACTACTGTATGTAACGAACAAAGTATTTAATAAGGCTGTTTCGTTCATTCAGATCTCGGATGTCTTCTGCTTGTGTTCCCTTTATTTTTTTGAGCAGTGTATTTATTATTAGTTCTATGTTAGAATCTCTGTAGCAGCCGAAATACTGTATATATTGTTTATTAATGAATATAGGTACAGGTAGTCCTCGACTTACAACCAGTCACATAGGCCCCAAAAGCTACTTTTGACCCAGTTTCATAATTCCAAAGTCACCCTCTCACCCGCGTCATGTGATCACATTTTGGGCACTCATCAAGTGGCCACATTTACAGCACCCGATGGTCGTATCACTGCAATTTATGGTTTGCTGAAAAACAGTGTATACTTCCAATGTCTGGCACAAACCAGCCCATAGTAAACTTTAACCACCACAACTTTGCTTAATAACTGTGACATTTGCATAACGACTGCCACAAAAAAGATTGTAAGAAGCCCTGGTAGCGCAGCAGACAAAAGCACTGTTATTAACATCAGCTGCCTGCAATTACTGCAAGTTCAAATCTCTCCAAGGCTCAAGGTTGACTCAGCCTTCCATCCTTTCTAAGGTAGGTAAAATGAGGACCCAGACTGTGGGGACAATAAGATGACTTTGTATAAAATATACAAAAGTATGAAGGCTATTGCTTAACGCATTGTAAGCCACCCTAAATCTCCAGAGAAGGGCGGCATATAAATCAAATAAAAAAAAAAAAAATCAGGTCTAGTTCCATGGTGATCCACTTTACGACCATCATAATTTATGGCCATAATTGCCAGGATCAAGTACACTCATAACTCGAGGACTACTTGTATTTTGTGGCAAATTTCGTTCCTAAGAAAGATACTGACAAGTATTATTTTTGTAACAGTTTACACTGAGAATCATAAAGGGGTCCACAGAAATGTGTGGATGTCAAAAACTGATCCCAGAACTGAGACTTGACAGTTTGATGTGTTGGGCCCTGGTTGTCATAAGCTCCACTTGAGGCTTGCTTGAATGAAAACCAGTACGAGGGATTGAGGCTATCATTGTCTGGATCCCTTTCTTCCTACAGTACTTTAATCACAGAAGATGCAGCAAGCAATGTTATAAACCTATTCTAGGCAGCTTTGACTCTGCATGTGAGCCTAAGATGGTCTGAATAGCGTTTGTGTTTTGCAAGTTTGCCATTGAACCACAAAGTGTAGATGTCGTTAGTTTTAGATGAATATGAGCTCCTAAACTGACTAAATTTGACCTAAATGGAAGATTATTTTTATGGTGGCCTAAGTGGAAGTATTCCGATCTTCTGGTATTTGGTAACAGAAGGAAAAACCAAAGAAGCGATGCATGGAACACTTTTGGGTGTGATCTCTGCAGACATATTTTGTTAGTTCATCCTTTCCAGTAATTGCTATTTGGGCAGCCACCTTCCCTGATGGCAAAAGACTCGCTCTATAAGACCCCCTGGAATTCCAACGGCCTGAGATCGGAAGGGAAATTGTCAGCAAAGACCACCTGCCTTAAAATTGGATCTAATAACCTCCAGAAAACAAATACTTCCATCTGTTTCCTTCCTTCATTCCCTCCACTCCCCGGAAGGACTGAGAATAATCTTTCACCCAAGGAAACAGCACAGGGAACCTCTAACTGTTATGCTGCAGATGCCAAGGGTGGTTCCTGAAGACAGTTACATGGAGAACTGCCTTTATAAGTTCTGTTGAAGGTATTATTCAGATTCTAAATCTCCATGTAAAGTCATCTGGTGTAAAGATGATCTTGATGGAAATATGCAAGAATCATTACCTAGGCAAAAGAAGCCAAAAAACTTTTCAAGTCCAGAGTAAGGCAATATCACTTGGAAGTGCCTCAGGGAGATGCCTCCTAATTTGCTGAAGTATAAAAGGAGGAGGTACAGTACAAACAGCCTTGCAAGATTCTGTTAATATTGCCAATTTCAGTAAAGAGAGTTTTAGCCTTCCTCTGGAGTTGATTTTCTGATTTGAGGTTGACATTCACCTGTCAGAAAGTTTTTCTGAAGTACCTTAGGAACTACTCAAGACTTTAGAGGTCATAGCAGCAAAGAAAATTAGAATGAATTTTAAAAAGGAATTATTTGATAGGTTAATAGTGTTGCACAGCTTTGGTAAATGTTAAATTTACAGGATACAATGCTAATTTATACAAATTGTTGTGTAACAAATTATACATGCAATGCAGTACAGAATAAAACCTGAGATTACTTTTAAGATTCTGCTCAGATACCAGCTGTTTCATAAATATTCAAAATGTTCCATACCTGATACAAGAACCTTTTCACTCGCCAAAGTTCCATTTTCTTGCTGAGCTACCAGATTTTTCAGTATAACTTGTGTGGCTCCCAGTCTTGGCAGTGTGACATGTGTAAGAAATGGCAAATTGTTTTTCTTGGCAAATGCCTGACTGGTTTCTCTTCTTTTTCTAAGAAAACCACCTTCTGGAAACAATACAATCCACTTGCGACTACGGCTCCTGTAATATTTTTCTAGATGTTCATGGAGGAGTACAAGCTGCTGGTCACGATAAGCTTTTCCCTAAAATTGAAATGACAAAAATAATACTTAATCAAATATCAGAATAATCTCTACTTTCCTACTCAAACCAGTTATTTTTACTGAAAAACTTCAAACCAATTTGTTTCCAATAAATTGTGAATTTAGGAAATAAAGTAAACATGAAATTAATATATAATTAACATATTTTACAGGACTTCAATTTCCTTTTTCAAAGCTAGATTCATACACTGCAATAAGGTATAATATACTTTGTTTGATTAGAGCTCAGTATGAAGTATAAATCAAGTATGTATGAATTTTTAAATAAAATATAAAAGAAGCCATGGCTTATTACACTGTATGAGAGATCCTTCATGCTTTCTGATCTTGGTTGTTTTCTTACAGATGTTTCATTACCCAAACTAGGTAACATCATCAGTGCTAGTAGGAGTGGCGTTTGCTCTCAATTCATATTCTAGTGGCTTGTTCTGTCAGTGTTAGTGGGGATGGTTAGAGGTTCTTTGGTTGGGCTGTTTACTGTTAGCTTGACATTCCTTGATTGGAGTCTTGTTTACTTCTTGTTGGTTTGATGTTAATCTATGCACATGTGGGTGTTGATTGCTGGTCCAGAGGTATTTTGGTCTTTTTGTTCCCTTTTTGGTTTGTTGATTGTCTCCCTGGCACAGTATAGATTTGTTTATATCTCTCTCTATTAATTACCAATTTGTCAGAATGCCAGGTTTACAAGAATTCTCTAGCGTTTTTGGGCCTGGCTTGGTGTAGGATGGTCACAATTTTCCAGTTGAAACTATGACCATATGTTGTGAAATTAAAGAGGTTTCTTTCATCATGTCTAGATGATGATGGATGCATTCTGGATGATGATGAATGAGTACTTAGAGTGCAGTATTGCAGGCTAATTCTGCTGACTGCCGGCTGCCTGCAATTTGGCAGTTCGAATCTCACCAGGCTTGAGGTTGATTCAGCCTTCCATCCTTCCAAGGTGGGTAAAATGAAGACCCAAATTGTTGGGGGCAATATGCTGACTCTGTAAACCACTTAGAGGGGGGCTGTAAAGTACTGTAAAGTGGTATATAAATCTAAGTGCTATTGCTATTCTGCTAGTCCTCTGCCTGTTTGTCCTACATAGTAGCTTTGCAGTCTTTACACTATAGATTGTATGACTCTTGTTTTTCCTTCTGGGGCTGCTCAATCTTTTGGTTTACTTAGGATGTTTTGAAGAGCTTTAGTTGGTTTGTTTGCTGCACTGATCCCATGTGGTAGTAATTATCTGTTAGTGGTTTCTGAGATGATTTTGATATATGACAATGTTATCCATTTTATGGCTTGTGTTGGATGTGCTATATTGGGTTGAATTTATGCTCAAGCATAAACATATTGCAGCCACCCAGAACAGCAAAAAAAGGAAACAGAACATCTATACATCATATTCCAACAAAATGAATATCCATGCAATTTCATCAAAAAGTGCCTAATTTAACAAGCCAAGTGAACAAAAAGATCAAAACACCTCCCCACCAGCAATCAACACTCCATAGATGAACATAGACAAAGATTAATATCAGACTTATAATCAAGAAGTAAACTTTTTTTTTCTTTTTATGACCCTGTAATTTCTTGTTTTGGTGTGGAGTGACGACACCTACGCAAAGTTTGCAGCAGATATTTTCTCTTTGCGCCCTAATAGGGAAACATTTGTCCAGTGCTGTGGAGTCGGAGTCGGAGTCGAGGAGTCGGAGTCGGAGGAAATTTTGGGTACCTGGAGTCGGAAGTACAAAAAACTGAGGAGTCTAAGTTGGAGTCGGAACATTCATCTCCCGACTCCACAGCCCTGCATTTGTCACTGCCTATGATTGAATTCTCAACCTTCTGAGTGGAAAGACCTCTAGTCCATCTTGCGACTCAATCAAGAAGTACACAATACCCCAATCAAATAACTGCAAAACAAGCTAAGAGTAAACAGGCCAACAAAGAACCACCAAAACCACTCCCACTAATACTGACAGAGCAAGCCACTGGAATATGAACTGAGAACAAAGTCAACTCCCTACTAAGCACTGATGATGTTATCTAGTTTGGGCAATGAAATATCTGCAAGAAAACAACAGAGCTCAGAAATATCTGCAAGAAAACAACCACCTCAACCCTGAACTACGAATATTTTCCTTTATCAATATATTGTATGACTTCATACAAAGTGTTTACATTAAGAGTATTATTAGAAATTAGATACAAAAGTAAATCATGGAGTTGTCCATTATTTAAGTAATTCATATATTTTGTAGTTACAAACCACACAATACATATTGATGACTACACTTCACTAACAAGGAATGGTAAATAATAATACTATTCCCAGAACTGAAAGAAAGATAGCTTTCATTCAAGTTTAAGTGCTAGGCCTGACCTAGATAATCCTTTATGGCCTGGCACCAAGTTACCTTCAGGACTGTAGTCACCCACTAGAATTGGACAGATCAAGTTGATGTCTCTGAGAAAAGTAGTTTGGGGAAGAGGAAAAACCTCAGCGGTACTATTTCGGCCACTAGAGATTAGGCAAGCACTTATCTGAATTGCCTTACAGACACATCTGAAAACAGAACTCTTCCAGAAGGTGTTTTGAGATATGACACCAGGAATTTTGCTTTATTCTATATGCATGTGTTTTTTATTTTTAAGTTCTTCCATTCCCTCCACTAACCAAAAGGATTGAGAATGAACTTTTGCTCAAGGAAACTGAAAAGGGAACCTCCTCAGAAGCCAAGAGTGGCACCTGAGGAGAGCTACATGGAGAATGCCTTGATAAGTTGTCACAGGTCCTAGTTATAATATGATTCAGATTCCCAATCTCCATAAATGGTCACTAGGGTACATACTAGTAAAGATGACTGTACACCAGTGTTTCCCAAACTTGACCCTTTGAAGATGTATGGACTTCAACTCCCAGAATTCCTCATCCAGGCATACTATTCCTCAACCAGGCATACTGGCTGGGGAATTCTGGGAGTTGGAAGTCCATGCATCTTAAAATAGCCAAGTTTGGGAAACACTGCTGTACACCAACTGTGCATTAATTGTTGTATTCTAATAAAGCAATCAGAGTTTTGTGGGAATGTGATAGGACATAAATGAAATAAAAATTATTTATATAAATTATGCAAATTTAAAATCATCTCTTTCCTATGTATATTTCTACATTTCCTAGCATTAAGGTTCAAGTTAACAGATGGGAAAAAGATCAAATCACTTCTTAAGAAAAGTATCCTATTTCTACAAATGATCTTCCATACATGTACACTGGACTTAAGCATGAAGCTTCAACTTTTAGAAATAATTCTCCCCCTTCCTTACCCTAGAAAAAGCATCCAAAACCCGAAAAAGCATCATGAGATGAGCTTTATGTTAAAATAATAATACTTTTAATGTTCATTTTAAAATAAAAATAAAAAAGTGAGCACAGAATCTGTTCAACTGGGTAAATAAAATCAATGTAATCAGCCTTATCATTTCATAAACTTGTTATACACTAATCCAGTTAAAAGTAAACTTCCCAGAGAACAGGCAATCAAATTAAATTTAATTATTTGTGAATTAATCATTCTTCCATTTCTCCCTGTAGCCCAACAAGGTAGACCAGATTAAAAAAACAATGCCACATAGATCAAGATTTTTGTTGTAACAAATGAGCAGGTCCTCCTCTATTTTTATCTTTATGTAAGCTAGGGAGGGGCCTGCCTGTCATATTTACCCAATCCTATCTTATCTGACCATTGCTATGGTACTTCCTCCTTCAAGGTCATTCCCTATGTCCTCTATACTCCCCCATTGACATCATCTTACTTATTTGGGGATAAATCCAATCAAAATATGTTCCCGCCATTATTTCCTTTGCTGCTAGCTTTATAACTAATTGCTAAGTCTACCAAGCTCAACAATTTCTAGCCAAGTGGAAATTAATATTCAAAGGCTCCAAATTGTGTTCATTTCTTTTCACATTTTTTCCATAGAAACCTGGAGTGACCAGAAATGGAAGGAAAGAAGCGACAATCTGTTATAGAACTGAACTATACCTAAAGAAGAACAGGAAATAGATATCAGAGTTTGTAGAGCTATGACCACTCTATTTTGAACCTTGTGGTCTGGATCTAGGCTACTTCCATTCTCCAGCTACTTTCTAAAATAATCCATTAAGAAATGTTATTTTTCAACTCACTCTTCTTTCTCCAGGGACCATTTTTTTGTCTTTAATTTATAGCCTACATGTTCACTTTAATCCTTTTGAAGTTTATGGCTGTTTGTCTTTATCACTTTTTTCTGTCTTTCACTTTCTTTATCTGCAAACATTGTTGAACAGCAGGAAACAAGTTACCAAAAAGCAGAATATTGCATCCGCATCAGTAGTATTCTCTCAAATACATAGGATTGATTGTTGGCTGTCCAATAATAAACATACCGTATCTTAGAATTTTCTAAATGAATAATTAAGTAAAGACTATAAAACTACAAAAGTCACTCAATTGGAATTCTTTGCCTACATGTCTACTATGCAGATCAAATTATAAATTAAGAGATTTATATGATTTATAAGGTAGATTTATGAGAGATGAATTTTACATCTTAAACAACACTTTCCAAATCTGTAATTCTATGAAGAATATAAATGTTTTGTATATCAAAGATACATTACAATTTCTGCTGCCCTGATATTTAAGGATGCAAAATATTCTCTTGCGCTGCAGTTCTAAAGAATCATCTATATGTGTAAAAACACTAAACTCTTAAGATAAGTATGTTTTACAGTTTTCAAAATGAGTTGCCCAGAGTTGTCTGAAAGATGAGAGGTTATATAAATGTTTTAAATAAATAAGTATGGGATACCTGGCATATAGAGAAGTCATTCAGACAAAGCCAAAATTTGGATTAATATTTTATTTAAAAAGTTTGGATTCACTTGTTCCTATCTCACATTAGATTAGAAACTTGTGGCAAACCATGTACTCCAATCCTCCCAAAAGTATAGTTTGCTTTAAACAGAGGTCTTGTATTTTTAAGTGGGTGAACAAAATAAATGACAATGTCTACAGTACACCAAACCAGTATTCTTAGTAGTTACTGTGTATTTCTCCACATTCTGTTAATTTTTTCATTAATTGTTGACACTATTAGAAATGGATTTCAATTTAATATATAGCAATAGCAACACAGTAACACTTAGATTTATATACGGCCCCATAGTACTTTACAGCACTTTCTGTGTGGTTTACAGAGTCAGCATATGGTCCCCAGCAATCAGAGTCCTCATTTTCCCAACCTTGGAAGGATGGAAGGCTGAATCAACCTTGAACATGTCAGGATTGAACTCTGGGATGTAAGCAGAGTTAGCGAGCAATATTGCATTCTAACCACTGAGCCATCAAGGCTCTTCATATACATTGACAATTATAACAAGATACATATAAATATTTAAGAAAGCAAATTTTACTATTAAAATATTTGTAGTTCTTGCCTGTCTTATAAAGAAGTCTCCATGAATCAGAGATACAATTCCAAAATTTGTGTATTTAAATATATGATCCATCAGCCACATCATCCGACGAACAACCTGGGAAAATTGAGATAAGAAATAGTGTGCATTCTGCATATAAACAAAGCAAAAATCAGAGATAGGTTTTCTGTTCCACAGAAGCAAATTTATAAAAATACAAATATATTTTTGCTATTAAATGAAAAACTGAATACAATTTGCATCCTTATAATGTTCGTATAAATGTATCAACATTTACTAAAAGCTTATTAGCTTTCATGAAGTATTTACTAAAGCAACATTCTCTCAGTATTCTCTCCTTCTTCCTAAAATCCTCACTTTCACTTTATATAAAATCAACAGATAGCTATTTCTTCACTATCTTGGATAAATTATATTATTTTAAATCCACTTTCATTAATTAACATTTTTAAAGCTCTCACACAATCTTTATTTCAGATAAGAAAAAGCAAGAGAATACAAAGCAAACTTGTAAATGGTAAACAGGATTTGCAAAACTATATTGATTATTCAAAAAATGGACGTTGCTTACCTGAACGTCCCTTCTCGACGCGCTGCTGGAGAATGCAAAGCTTCGGGTTGTTCAATAGTCGAGTAGCCTACACTGAGTGTGTTCCTTTAAATCTTTACTTCAGACACGCCCACTTGCTCAACAGAGTCTCAGTTTTGTTCACGAAGGAAGAGGCAGTAGAATAGAGGAAAAAAATCCTCAGCAGCCAGATCGGGTTGGGTTGGATTCTCCAGCAGCGCGTCGAGAAGGGACGTTCAGGTAAGCAACGTCCGTTCTCCAACGGGCTGCTTGGAGAATCCAAAGCTTCGGGATATACCCAAGCAAGTTTAGACTGGGAGGGAGGCTGGCTGCTGCACAGCGTCTGAAAAAGTACACACAGCCTGAAGCACACGGCGACCGAAGGATGCCTCAGCCGAGGCGAAAGAGTCCACCTTGTAGTGCCGAATGAAGGGATTCAAGGATGACCAGGTAGCCGCCCTGCAGATGTCGGAGACGGACGCATTGGTGGCCCAGGCAGCCGTGGTGGCGGCGCTCCTTGTGGAATAAGGAAGGATCCGCGGTGGAACAGGGGTGTTCCTAGCAGAATATCCCCTGGTGATGCAAGACTTAATCCATCTCCCAATCGTCGTGAAAGAGACTTTCCTGCCCATAGTGGCAGGCAGGAAAGAAACGAAAAGCAATTCCGACCTACGGAAGTGCTCTGTTCTTTTTACGTATCTGCGAAGCACTCGCCGGACATCTAAGAGGTGGCAGTTTGCCTCTAGAGGATGTCGTGGTGTCGGGCAGAAGTCAGGAAGGACCAATTCCTGCGCACGATGAAAGGAGGAGTTTACCTTAGGCAGGAATGAGGGATCCAGTCTCAGTACGACTCGGTTTGTGTGAAAAATGCAGAGGTCACTCCTCACCGATAAGGCCGCAAGTTCAGATATACGGCGAGCCAAAGTAATCGCTACTAAGAATGCCACCTTGAGTGTCAACCATCGGAGGCTGATGGAGGCGAGAGGCTCGAACGGAAGATGCATGAGGGCCTGAAGAACTAAGGAGAGATCCCAGGATGGGTAGCGATGGACGACTGGGGGACGCAGATTGGCTGCCCCGAGTAAAAAGGCACGAATCGTAGGATCCTGCGAGAGGGGTAGATTGGAGTTAGTAGAGAGGACAGTACTCAGCGCAGCAACCTGGCGACGAAGAGTGTTAGGAGCCAGATTCTTATCAAAGCCCTCCTGGAGGAAGCCCAGAACTTCGGGAACGGAGGCGGACGTAGGATCTAGGTGAGACCCGGCGCACCAGGAGCAAAAGGAAGTCCAAGTAGCGTTATATATACGGCAAGTAGACGGCCGTCGGGACGCCTGTATAGTGGGGATCGCAGTGTTGGGCACGTTGACTTTCCTCAACAAGATCCTCTTAAGCGCCAGGCGGTCAACTGCAACCACTGGGGCTCTGGGTGCAGTATGACCCCCTGGCTGAGAGCAATCCTGTCCCCCGGTATCCGCCATGGTCGTGCCACCAACAGGTCCACCAAGTCCGCAAACCAGGCCCTCCGTGGCCAATGGGGCGCTACCAGGATGACGTCGCCTCTGTTATTATCCTGCGAAGGAGGCGAGGAAGGAGTGGCAGGGGAGGAAAGTAGAGTCCGCTCGGCCAGGGAGAGGCGAGTGCGTCGACTCCTTCCGCTTGAGGACACGGGTACTGAGTGAAGAACCTGGGAAGGTGTGCGTTGTCGCGGCTGGCGAATAGATCGACTAGAGGCATGCCGAACCTACGAACAATTTCGGCGAACAGATCCAGGTGAAGTCGCCACTCGGCGTGGTCCAGATGTTGTCTGCTGAGCCAGTCCGCTCTGATGTTCGTGGTCCCGGCAATGTGTTCTGCCACAAGGGACAGGACGTGTTTTTCTGCTCAGGTCAGAAGTAGTGTCGTCTCTTCCATAAGCGGTCCTGATCGGGTCCCCCCTTGGCAGTTCACATGTGCTTTTGCTGTTACATTGTCCGTGCGTATTAGGAGGTGATGCCCCATCACGACATGCTGGAACTGTAGGAGAGAGAGACGGATCGCGCGGAGCTCCAGCCAGTTGATCCCGTTTCGGCGATCCTCCGGCGACCATGTACCAAGGGCGACGTGAAAGAGAAAGTGACCGCCCCATCCCGTCAGGCTGGCGTCCGTTGTCACTACGAGGCATTGTAGATCGTGAAAACAACAGCCTTTCAGCAGGTTCAGGTTCCATTCACCAATGGAGGGACCGTATGATTCCCGGTGGAAGGGAGACTTGCCTGGAAGAGTTGCTGCACTTGGACCTCTGAAACGGGAGGAGGGAACCATTGTAGCTGCCGGGAGTGAAACCTCGCCCATGGAACTACGGACAGGCAAGATATCATCTTCCCGAGCGGGTGCGACAGGATCAGCAAGGCCACTCTCCGGGAGGCTAGTACTTGAGAGAGCAAGGACCGGAGACTGGAGCAGCGGTCCGTTGACAAGAAGACCTGGCCTATCACCGAATCTATTACGGTTCCCAAGTGAAGGATCCGTGTAGTAGGCTGCAACTGACTCTTTGGAATGTTGATTGAAAAGCCATGTTGACGAAGGCAGCAGCATACTACTGCTAGGTCTCGCGTAGCCTGGGTCGGAGAGGCGGAGAGTACAAGGATATCGTCCAGGTAACAGTGCAGCCACACCAGCTGTTGACGGAGGTGGGCCGCCACTGCTGCCAGGAGTTTTGTGAAAGTCCTGGGGGCAGAAGAGAGGCCGAAGGGCATCGCCCTGTACTGGAAGTGCCGGTTGTCGTAGGCAAAGCAGAGGAAACGTCGATGAGATGGTCGAATAGGCACGTGGAGGTACGCCTCCTTCAAATCGATGGATGTCATCCAGTCCGAACGGCGAATGGAAGCCAAGATTGAGCGGAGAGACTCCATTTTGAACTGGTGGTAGATGATAAACTCGTTCAGCCGCTTGAGATCCAGTATGCCTCTGTAACCCCCTGATGCCTTGGGGACCAGAAAAAAGATGGAGTAGAAGCTGGTCCCCCGATGTTGAGGGGGGACCGGTTCTATGGCCCGGATTTGGAGCAGGTGATGGATCTCTGCGTCCATTAAGCGCCGTTTGGTGAGGTTGGAAGAGAGAGGGCATTGTACAAAACGGTATGGAGGACGAGCACGGAACTCCAGGGTGAGACCCAGGCAAATCGTCTGGAGTACCCAGGCGTCCAACGTTGACATCTCCCACTGTGAGAGGAAATGTCTGAGGTGGCCGCCGATAGGAAAATGAGTGTAGTCATTTTCCTCTTCTGAATGCACGGGCGCCAGTGCCTTGGAAGGGCCGTTTGGTTGCTGGGGGCTTCCGCCTGCGGTCTCTGAAGGAGGTTCTATCGAAGGAGCGGTCGAACCCTTGCGAGTAAGGTCTGGAAGGGAAGGACCCAGAGGGTCCGGCGGCGGCCCAAAAGGGCTGTCTGGTGGAGTATGGCGAAGGCTTACGATCAACTCTTCTGTACGAGGATGGCATGATTTTCCGTTTATCCTTGTCCTCGACAAGGATGGGGTCTAAGTCTTCGCCAAAGAGACAGGAACCCTTGTAGGGTATGGAGGCCAGGCGCCACCTGGACTTTGCGTCAGCTCTCCAATTCTTCAGCCACAGCAAACGGCGAGAGGTAACTGAGGACACCAGGGCCCTAGATGCAAATTTAGGCTGTTAAGCGAGGCATCCGCCGTGTATTCTGTTGCCGCCACCAGTTTATTAACATCCTGGTGGAGACGAGTGTCATCCGGAGGAAGGCATTCTTGTAGTTCGCGGAGCCAAATTAACGATGCCCGGCTGAAGAAAGAAGCTGAGGTAGCCGCCCTGACTGCCCATGCTGCAGCATTATGAGTCCGACGGAAGGTAAACTCCGCCTTTCGGTCTTCAGAGCGTAAACCGTCAGCTACGTCACCAGAAATTACCGATGAGGAAGTCAAGTTCGTGACTGGAGCATCAACCGTCGGTAATTGAAGCAGGTCCTGCAGGCTAGGAGCCGAGCAATATAATTTTTGTCTAGTCCCGTAGGGGCAGGCAATGAGGAAGGTGAAGCCCAAGAACGCTGAACCACCTCTGAAAATAGCTGTGGACATGGGATGAAGTCTTCTTCGCGCTTAGGAGCTGCGAACAGTGCCTCATGTGGCTGCGAAGGCCCTGGTTGATCTACCAACATGGTAGGATCTGTCATTTTTGTAGACTGTTGGCCTAATGCAAAAGGGACTTAAATAGTGACGGTCTGAAGAGACCAGAAAAGGCAGGCTTATCTGGAGGCATATCCTCGTCATCGGAGAACTCCATATCTTGGAAATCCGCTTCATTATCCTCTGAGGATGACTCCCCACTGCGCCCGTAATTGCGATGGGAAGTGTCCGGGCGCAGCACGGATGGATACTGGGCCGAGGCCGACTGGGCAGGGCATGGGTGAGGAGGAGGAGGACAGTAGTGAGCCTGAGGCCAGGCCGCATACTGTGCCGGCTGCTGAGCGTTCGCCGCCAATGTCCGGGAAACAGTTTCAGATATCAGCCGTTGAATGTCGTAAGGAAATGGAGGAGGAGCCAATTCCGCCGTACGCAGGCCAGTGGCTGTGGGAGTAAAGGTCGCCTCAAGAGGTGCCCTTTGAGGAAGCGAAGCATTACGAGAAAGGTCCACCGGGCCCCAGGACTGGGCCAAATTGAGGGCAGAAGGTTGCGGATGTTTGAACTGGAGAAGTGGCTGCGGCTGTGTGGCGGTTTGTTGAGGAGGTTGATCAGCTGACTCTGCCACGGGTGAGAGAGGAGGCGGCTGGTTGGAGGCTGCCACCTGGTCCAAAGACTTGCGCGCTTTCTCGAATTGTCGTTCCATGGCCTTATATCTCCTGGAAGCGTCCTTGGCCGCAGCCGATGACGATCTGGATCGTTTGGAAGATGTAGCCGCAGAGGAAGAAGAACGAGATGAGCGTTTCCTGGAAGACCTGTGCGATCTATCTGGCAGCGGTCGTTCCAGAGAACTTTGGACATCCTCAAGGTCGGAAGAGAGGGCACGTTCCGCCATCGCCAGGTAATGGAATTCAAACTACATTTATTCCTTTTTTTTTTTCCAGAAAATGAACCAGTCAAACAACAAGTAGAAGCAGGAGGCAATTGAAATAACTGTAGACCTCAGCTGACAGAAGGAAATGATTAAGAGAAGTCTTTTAGGCCGTTGATTGCCAGCAGATTACTGCGCGTGCTCAGAGCTGTTGCCGGGCAGATTATGTCAGCCACTCAATGGGTGACAGAGAAAATGGCGCCAAATTCGATACCTGAGTAAGCTGAGCAAGGACTGTGCTGTAATGGCGGACGAGGGCTGCGCCGTATTCTCCCGGCTGAGAAGGGCGATCGGCAGGCACTTTGAGAAGGGCAGTGGAGCGAGCCAAGACAAGTATGCTCCCAGCGCCTGAGGAACAGAAGGCGGGCGCGCGAAACTCAAAAGCGCTCCAAGCGCCAACCGCAGCGGTCACAACGTTGAAAAAACAGCCGATAAGGGGAGATTGCGGCAATCGCAGCTGCCGTTCGGCAAGGGAGGCGGCGTGCAAAATCCTGCTGCGGTTTGAAGCGTGCGATTACTCAGAAGCAATCCAGACGCGAAAACCAAGCCTCCCGTTGTCAGTGTGCCACTGAGAGCAGCGGTAGTAACTCTTAAGCCGCTCAGGGGAATAATAAGTCAATGGCGGGGGCGGTATTGCCGGCAGGCCGGGGAACCAACCCACACGCCAGCGGCAATTAGAGTCAATGGATGGCGTCTGAGGAGGAGCGGAGCTTGTCAGAACAAAGTAAAGAACAGGGGCGATTAGCCTGGAGCCCCAGGCCACTCACCCCTGCCACAACGTTGAGATGAGGAATAAGTCCAATTTAGTAATCCAAAGCTTCGGAAAGGAACAATAGTCTAGCCAGAAACTGGAGAAATTTTCAGACAGTGTCACAGGCTCAACTGAGTGAACTAAACTGAGACTCTGTTGAGCAAGTGGGCGTGTCTGAAGAAAAGATTTAAAGGAACACACTCAGTGTAGGCTACTCGACTATTGAACAACCCGAAGCTTTGGATTCTCCAAGCAATGCGTTGGAGAATATACCTACCCAATAATACTTTTTAAGATCTTTAAACCTTTCTATTTTAGAGAGCATTCACTTACAATGTTGTCTTAATTTTTAAAATTTGTGTAGATGTACAAAGTTAAATTTATTCTTGTATTATACCCATCACATCAGTGGTGTAATGTAAAATTTGTTACTACGGCTTCTGTGAGTGTGGCTTGGGGAGGTAATGTGACTGGGGGATGTGGCCAACTTTTTTTTTTAACTTTTAAAAGCATTTCTTCTACAACCTCTTGAAGAGGTTGTAGAAAAAAATGGGATCGTCAGAGGCTTTTAAAAGCACTTTTTTGATGATCCCAGCTGAGCCGTGCGATCATCAGAGACTTTTTTTTAAACTTTTAAAAGCATTTTTTCGACCGAAGAGGTTGTAGAAAAAATGCTTTTAAAAGTAAAAAAAAAAACCCCTCTGATGATCGCGTGGCTCAGCTGGGCATTGGGGGAGGTGCACAGGGATTTTTGCTACCGGTTCTTCGAACCATCCGCCACCATTGCTACCGCCTGAACTGGGAGCATTTCACCCCTGTATCACATTCATTTTGAACATGCCATTATATATTCTCTATTACATTCTCCTTAAAAGATCAGAACTCGTGTAGGAATGTTTCTTGAACCTCAGATATAAGTGGATTCTTTAATGATAGCAACAGGCAGAAAGGAGGATTTTGCATAACCTCATCTAGTATACCAGCTGCATCCTTCCTGAGACAGTCAAACTTGACTGCTTTTTCATGTCTTCGTTACATCCCATCTTGAGTGTTGAAATATGCTCTACTAGGAGCTACAGTATCCTTGACAAGTATTTGAAAATTTAAGTTAGTTACCTTAGGTTACCTAAGGGTCAGTTTCACCTATTACAAACTTCTTATATTTGTAAGATCAGAAATATAGGTCCTCTTAAATGTATCTACTATCAAAGGCTCATGTTTTTGACTTGTGGGAGTGGTTCTTTTCTTGCTATGGCACTCACTCCTTTAGCATTTATACCTGACCCCAATTCTCTCAGGGTTTAGGAAATTTGTAAAGATGCATGCCTTCCATCAGACTCTTAACTGTCCAATGATTTGATTATTTTGTTGTTTAAATGTCTATTTTAGCTTCAATGCAGGTAGTCCTCAAGTTAGGAACATAATTGAGCCCAACATTTCCATTGCTAAGTAAGAAAGTTGTTAAGTGAGTTTTACCTCTTTTTACAACCTTTCTTGCCATAGTTGTTAAATGAATCACTGGACTTGTTAACTTAGTAACAAGACTGTTAAGTGAATCTGTCTTCCCCATTGATTTTGGTTGTCAGAAGGTTGCAAAAGGTGATCAAATGACATTGGGGAAATTGCAATCGTCATAAATACATATCAGTTGCCAAGCATCTGGATTTTGATCACATGTCCCTAGGGATGCTGCAATGGTCGTAAGTGTGAAAAATGATCATAAGTCACTTTTTTAAATGCCATTTCTAATGTCAAACAGTCACATATGGTTGTAAACTGAGGACTAGCTGTACTCAAATTTTTATTTTTATTTATTATCATGGCTGTACATCAGAGCAGGTAGGTAGGTAGGTAGGTAGGTAGGTAGGTAGGTAGGTAGGGATATACCAGGGCTGTCAAACTCCTGTCCTGTGGGCCGGATGCGGCATGCGCTGGCCACCCAGTTAGTAAAGGGTAAAAAAGTCCCAATACGCCGTGACAATGTGAGTTTGACATTCCTGGGATAGACAGATAAAGACAGACTGACTGACTTTAATGCTGCCTGACCTGAACACTTATAAGTCCTGCTTCTACAGCACAGACATGTAAATAATGAAAGTTGAGAAGATACAGAAATATAAAATATGATTAAAGTATTGGATGGACATATGTTTTGTGCACAAGTCTTCTAATGTTGTATTTCTGAAAAAAGTACCCAGATTGTTCAACAAGTACAATATATCAACAATATCTATCGAAGTAGCATACCGTGCCTTTGTCTTGAAGGCACATCATTAGAGTGCAAATATCTCCAGTTGCTTGATGGTTCACCAGCATCAAAGCTTCATCTTCTGAAACTGTTCTAATATCATCTCCCCATTCCATGACTGTGCAAAAACAGAAGAACAGACTTAATTAAAATAACAGTCACTTACACAAAGATGATAGCAACTCATGTTTCACAGGGATTCCAACAAATTACAATACATTGATTTGTAAATTTGGATTACTTCAACTATAATACACAAAATATAAAAAACAAAGTCTTATAAAAATGAGGCAAAACTAAAATGTAGCAATCTTGTAGTAAAATTTCTAAATCCAGGAACAAACACTACATTTTCCATTTTTAAATTTGTAAATTATTATATAGTATATATTGAACATGTATGTCAAAACTATCTTTGAAAATAAGTAAAACAATGATAAGGCAAGAAAAAAATGAAGGCTTATAAAGATGAGGCAAAATGTAGTAATCTGGCAGGTAAATTTCTGAATTCAGAAACAAATACCCTAGATTTTCCATTTTTAAATTTGTAAATTATTATGTACTGTATATTGAACATGTATGTTGAAACTATCTTTGAAAATAAGTAAAACAATGATAAGACAAAGTCTGTTTCAAAGTGAACCCAATACCTGGTGATTTCATGATTATCTAATTATTCTAATTTTCAAAAACTTGAAATGATTTACCATTGCATTCTTCTATTATTATTTCCTTAATTTTCTACTCTAGCCTGATAAATTCCATAAGTTTCCTGGTCAAATATCAACAAAGATGGCAAGGATATTACAATGCTTCAGTTTTTAATTCAAGCATTCATATTCTGATACCAAATGCTTAAAGCTTAAAAAACACTGATGAATGACAAAGACCCGCACATAGTGAAATCTTTTCCTTCACAGGTATATAAAAGTGTCTACAAACATTATTGAATCATACAAAAACAGGGTGGATAAAAATCAATGATTTTTTTAAAAAAATAAAAAAAATCAGATTTTTTTATTTAAATCAGATTTTTTTGATTTTTATCGAATTTATTTTAATAAAAAACTTTTGGGGTAAAAATCTATCGTAAGATAGTTTTCTATTTAAGATACATAAATAATTTAGTTTATTCAGCATGAAATGGAGCTTAGTTATGTAGCATGAGGCTGTATATTCTGCAACACTGGGACTATCGGTGAGTCAACAGTGGGTCAAAGGAGTAGCAGAGATGACAGTTGCTCTTTAAAAATTATGATTTAAATCAAGTTGATTTAAATCAAGCCTTTTTACTAGTGATTTAAATCATGATTTAAATTGTGATTTAAATCAACTCGATTTAAATCAAATCCACCCTGTACAAAAAAATAGTGTATCATAAAATCCCAATTTGAGTCACACAAATTCAGCCTGGATAGAGTTCAATATGTTAACAATCCCCCAAATGGGTCAACTTTAGTTACCCTGGATAAATGCCATGTGTGATAGCCCATGACTGAGTAGGTCATGCAAGGTGAGCTGCAAAACTTAACTTGCTAAAATTATCATGGGGCATGTTCTCGTTTTTATTTTCAGAATTTAATATCCACTCCCTGATGATGGACCACTTCGTGACTTTTCCTATGAGCATACTGATACTAGCACTAATCCAATACTGAAACTGATTAGTTTTCTTGCAGGTAGAGAGAATGATGATTGAACAATTCTGAGTATATATATGTGAATTATCCCATATGAACCATCTGCCTTTGTAAATATTTCTGAAATATTAGCTTTATATGTCATCATTAAAGAAAGTAAAGAACCCTGGAATACAGTCACCCTATAGTACTCCTAGAGATGTAGAATGATTTCCATCAAGAGTTCCAATAATAATGTAAAGCTCAGTTATCTAGGAAAGTTTAGGAATGTCAATTCCTAAATGTTATTCTATAAAATAATCTGAACTAATTTTAACTCCACTCTGGAATTTTTAGATCGGATTCTCTCATTACACGTTCTACAGTTGCCTTGATTCCCTTAATATTTCATTTTATTATCTGTTCAGTATAAGGTTACATGCAACACATTGGAGGCTACAAAATGTTCCTAAGAAAAAATACAATATGGAAAAGAATCATAATTATGCTCTTCCAAAAAAATTAGATTAGATCTTAAGATTGAAGGAGGTTACTACTCTAATTTTTGTAAAACTGATATAAGAAAATAAATCTGTAAATGATTATCAAGTTTTTTTTTACTTAATAACAGATCATGATACGTTATTAAGAATTCTAAATTTCTGAAGCTTGCTATGGAGGGAATAGTCATCCTGAGAGAACATGCATTTCTTCTATTATCTTCAAAGCCTCTGTAATAAGCAAAACTAAAAGTCTCTTATTCTTATACATTTGACAAGACTGGTCAGAGTCTAAATTTTATCTTAAGTTCAAAATACAGATACACATTTTCAATCATAAAAATGTTCAAGTGGCAAGGTCAGGTTAAGGTGATGTTAGCTAATAAATGTGTCATAACTCCTAAAATATGTAAGTTCATATACAAACATAGAGAGATCTATCAATACCTATTCAGAAATAATTAAGATACCTAACCAGAAATAATTAAGATATTCCTAAAGCAATTTTAAATACTTTTGAATTTAACAAATCTGCAGATCCTAAGTTTTTCTTCAAAAAAACTTTTATTATTTTTATATCAAGTACAGAAAAAACTACTGAAAAAGAAATATACGAAACAATATATGTAAAAAAATTTTTAAAAGCCCTATAGGAATTCCATCTCGCTCAAATGCTGTAATTAGGGGAAGGACATCAAATGCAGCACCTCTCTGGAAGAAAGGTAACAGCAGCAATAACTACGAAGATGCTGCACCAAGGCCAGAGGAAGAGCTACATTCTGTGTCAATGGTAGAAGATTTCTGGGACAGATGGTTTGAGACAACCAATCTTTCACTTAATGATGTTATCCCTGTACAACAGGGGTGTCAAACTCAATTTCATTGAGGGCCATATTAGGATGGTGTGTGACCTCGGGGGGGGGCAGCTCGACACTCATGTCAGGGGCGCCTCTGGTGGCCTGAGCGCTCTGCCAGAGAAAACAGGTTCCCAAGTTCCGTTTTGAGCTGCAACGGCCTCCTGCAACCCTCTGCCAGAGAAAACGGATCCCCGGGAGGGCTTGAGCTCTGTTTTCACTGACAGAGGCACTGCTACTACGCTGTTTCAAGGGCAGCCCTGCGGGCAGATCTAAGCACCCCTGCTCTACAGGTATTACAATTATATTTTGTTCCTTTTGATAATTCACTATGATAATACAAATTAATAATATTCTGTGATCAAGCTGTAAGTCACTTTGATAATTGAGAAATATTTTGAAAAATAAAAATGTACTTAAAAATTCTGATACTAAAGCCTAAAGGCCTTACAATCCATGAATTGTGCATGTAGCCAGCTATAGAAGTGAAACTTCAAAAACCGTAATATTTGGGTATTTTGAAGATAATTTCAAAAATAAGAAAGAACAACATATTCAAAGTAATCTTGCCCTCAAGATATGAAGAAATCGTTTGGCCTTATGCAAAGTGGTCAAACCCTAGCTGCATGGGGAGGATACAAGGGCTCACACAGCCATGGGAGAGAACCCTCCCCTTCCTCGTACTATCAACTTCTAGTCTCCCCATCTTGAATCTTTCCATCTTTTGTAATTTTATGTTGTTTTACATTTTAAAAATTTTTAATCTTAAATTATTCAGTTTTAATGTCTTATTATGACAATGTTTAGAAGACCAGCCTCAAAAAAACTACAACAATGCTGTTCATGGCAAGGGTTACAAAGAGAAAGCTACTGCTGCTGATGGAAGAGAATATTTGTAGCTCACAATACGGCCCGCAATGAGATAGGGTTTGATATATCTAGTCTAGTGTTAATCTTGATATTAATCTGTGCTCATCCTAGTGATGGCTGGTGAAGATGGTGCTTAGGTCTTTTTGTTTCCTTTTTGGCTTTTTGATTGTCTCTTTAATGGTATGTAGATGTTTTTTTCTATGCTTATCTTTAATCAGTCATCTATAAGCATCTGATGTCAAATAACCTACTAACCATTTCTTTTTCAGAATGTGCCCTATTTCCATCAGAAAACACAACACAATATCTTAAGAAACATTGTGATTCATATGGACAAGAGATTGTGAAAAGTCAGCAATCTGCAGGGCTTCATCTGGCCTGCTGAAGAACTGTTCCCTTCCATCCAGTTACAGCTACTTTCTTCCTCCAAGGCCATTTATACATATTTTAGACAGAAGAACAGAGAAGAGAATCAGTTGAAGATGTTCATTACATTTGATTTTAAAAAATTTAATCCTATTTCTTCAGTGGGAGTGCAAACTATCTGGAGTCAATTTTAAAATCTGTAAGTGGAAGATGCAAACTATCAGCTCCGAGTTTCTCAATTACATTTAAATTTGTAAGAAAAACAGCTAAATATTACTTTATAAGTTCTTCCATAGGTGATGAATTCTTACTACCAGTAGAAAATGTAGATATAATAGCCATTATCTTAACTATCACAATTCAAACAGTTTTAGCAAATAGCTATAAAAAATGTTGACACCTGGGAAAGTCAAATGCTTCCATAATAGGTAGCAGATGATATAACTGTAAAGCACATGATGCAAATGTAAGCAAAGAATTAAAGAGTGGCCGGGGGAGGGGGAGGGTGTTCATTTTTTTTTTCCTCTGCCAGGGCAGTTTTCTGTATCTCGTACATTAAATTTGGTGCTTCTTTTCTTCTAGGCAGAGAAGCACTGAAGAATCTATCATCTATCTATTTATCTATTTATTCAATTTATATGCCGCCCCTCTCCGAAGACTCAGGGCGGCTCACAATATACTCAAAAAATCACTATAAAAACACTTAAAAATTAAAAACATTAAAACCCATTAACACCATTCATGGCCAGATCTCGTCAGATCGCAAAGCGAGATCAACGGCCCCAGGCCTGCCAGAAAAGCCAGGTCTTCACCACTTTCCGGAAGGCCAATAGGATGGGGATGGTCCGGACCTCAGGAGGTAACTGGTTCCAGAGAGCTGGGGCAGCCACAGAGAAGGCCCTCCCTCGT